CATAGTTAGTAGGCCAAGCAGCAGTTTTGTTTGGATATCAAGACAAGTTTTGAATTTAGCCAATCAATTTGAACCAGGCAGTTAGATACCAAAACAACAATTAAATTCAAATTTGATGGTTTTGACAACATAGGATCAATCCTACTGTAAGAAGTATTGATATGTCATCAAGGGTATAAAAGAAAGGGCAGTTGGGCAAAGGCAGGAGAGTGAACTGTCATCTGCCAGAGTTAATAGCTCTCAGCTCTCAAGAGAGAATCGCTGACTCTCACAGTTTTGAAGTTTTAGAGAAAGCACCATCTAAAACAAAGGTATCTACAGCACAACTAGTTAATATTCCTGACAGAGAACATTCGACAAGGTAGGCACAGAACATTCCTGAAAACACGTAACCTACCTGTAATATTGAAAGACTAAATTATATTTTTTAAATTTTATTTTATATAAGTGGCTCTTGTATTTATTGGAGTAGCATACCATTAGATTCTTGTTTTATTCTGGAATAGTTAGTGGTTAGAAAGGGTTTATTCAGTTTGTTAATAATTTAGTTAATTTGTTCACTATTAGAGTTAGATAAATACATTGTTACTTGTTGATTGTAAAAGTGAGTGTCAGGGATTTTTTTTTAATCACTGGAAGTTGCTGAAAGGCAGGTTACACCACTTTAACGCTCCTTTTTAACAGGTTCTGCAGCAAGACGCTCCTCTTTGGGTGTTTCAGTTTTAGCTTTTGGGGAGTGGGGGTCCTCCTCCTTAATAAAAGATCTAAATCTATAAACATTCATTCCCGCCACTACTAATGCTCAGTAGCAACAGTGTGTATTTTCTACAAGATTAACTGCAGAAAATGACAAAAGCTCCTTAGACAGCAGTTCCAAACACATGACCGCTACCACTTAGATGGACAAGGGCTGTAGATAAATGGGGACACCACCACATAATTCTCCTCCAAGTCACCTACAGCCCAGACTTGGAAATATCTCACTGTTCTTTCAATGTCACTGGGTCAAAATCTTGGAACTCTCTCCTTTAAAGGTATTGTAGTTGTACCTCCACCAAATGGACTGCAGCAGTTGAAGAAGGCAACTTACAACCACCTTCTCCAGGGAACTGGGAAAGAGTTATAAATGCTGGCTCAGCCAGCAACATTGACATCCCATGAGTGAATAAATACAAGTAATGTGATGATATGTGTGTTTAAGAGGAATTTGTTCTGTTGTGGTTCTCTTGAAGGGGGGTGTTGTCAATGTGGTCTGAGGTGTCCGCTCTATGGAAAGCAGAGTAAATAGCTTTGGATTGATTTTAAAATTAGACAATAGAAGCATGACTGGGTGGAGTCAGGCTCACAGAGACCTAGGGTTTTAGTTTGGATTGGGATTTTTAGAGTTGAAACTCCTGGTTCAGTGATAGGGACACTACCACTGCACTACAAGAGCCCGCTCCCTCTTCTGAAAATAAGACTTTCTTATTGAGCTCAGGCTAAACCTATTTGTCCTTCTGCAAGTGCAGTTGAAGGACTTCTCACTGTTTTACTTTCTGAGCAAGCTGTGTCTGTCAAGACTCCAGAAACAACCACGTGTAATTAGTGACTTAACAACAAGTGCTAGAATGGCAGAACAACAGCCTTCAGAAGATGCTATTCTTTATCCTTTTGTCTTGAAGAATATATTGGCCAACTTGTTCTTTTTTTACAGTTTTGAGTCTTCATTGAATAAGTTTTATTTTGATAATAAGACAATAATTGCATTTATTAATAAACTTGGTTGGTAGGTCTTTTCACTTAGAATGCCATTTGGGATAAAGTATATAATTGGTGATCTCAGTGACTGAAAAATCTCTTTTAGATTTTTGTGTTGTGACCCATGGACCCATGGTCTACAATGACAGTACACTTCTCCAGTCTTGGCAGTAACATCAGATGGCAGAATAGAGAGCCTGCCGAAAAGAGAAAAAAGAAATCTGTCATCCTTGGCCAACACTATTTATCTGTGTCAGCTGTGGAAGGGAGTGCCATTCATGAATTGGTCTCTACCACCACAACAGATGATGTTGATACTGAAATGACATATGCCTTGGGCACATTCCATCATCTCTTGACAAAGATGGATGTTATCATTGCTAGCTTCACAGATTATTAGACATAGACTTAAAGGTTCCTTAGTTCCACTATCCTTTTCAGTATCCTACCATTTATTGTATATTTTTCAGCCTTGTTTTCCCAACCTAAAATGCCTTAACCCACATTTTTCCCAATTGTATTCCATTTTCCGCCTATCTAATGAGTCCATTGTTATCTTATCCTGGAATCTATAGCTTTCTTCCTCACTGTTAATCACACATAAATTTTAAAATGTCTGTAATCTTCTTAATCATGCCTCTACATTTAAGTCTGAGTCATTGATAAGTACCAAAGAGAGGGATCTAATACTAGACACGGCAGAACCGCAATGGAAACACTTTTCTAGTCACAAAAATATCCTTCAACAGTAATGTCTTGCTTTCTTGTCATTGAGCAAATTTTGTATCCAACTTGACACTTGCCCTTAGGTACAATGGGCTTTCACTTTTCTGACCAATCTTCCATGTGGATCCTTGTCAAAAGTCTTGCTAAAATCCACATAAATTATATCATAAACACTAATACCATCAACTGTCTTTGCTATCTGTTCATAGAATCAACCAAGTCATTCAGCCAACCTGCCCTTGTATATGATTTAAAATAAAGAGAAATACCTTGATATAAAAAATATCAAACTAAATTTTCTTTATGGATTTCTATGTCATTTTGATCTCCAACATGAAAGGAAAAATTAATTAATAAGACTGCAGAATTTGTGGACATGAACAGAAGATCATAATTAATTTAAACCATAGTTGTTCCCTTCTGTCTCCTGTAAGAAAGAGAAAAAAAAACTTCACATCACCTTCCAAGAACAGCTTGGTTATTCTTTGTCTCAAGAAAATTCTTGAAGTATCTGTCATGCTCAGATTGGTTTTGGAACCTGTTCAATGAAGCCAATGTGCTATCCTAGGGAATTTATTACAATTCTACACCCCATTTTCTCCTTTAATTTTTTTTTTTGAAGGTGGCACATTCAGCTTTTAAACTGAGATGGCATTTATATTTTACAGTATGTATGCACATAAATTGATGAAGGGTGGTATGATTATAAATTTTCAAACCGAAGTGTTGTGAGGTATATAAATAGTTTATTTAAGGCACAAAGGCTGCACTTTCTTCAACATGACATCCAAAGTTTGGAGCATGGCAGTGAAACAATGAGGAAAATTGAATGGGAATATTAGTTCAGGGATAATACTATCAGCTGTACATCAGAAGATGTGGGTTCAAGACCTACTCCAAAGATTTTACCATGCAATCTCCACTGATACTCTAGCATAATGTTAAATTAATGCTGCATTATTGGAAGCAAAAGACTGAATTTTATCAAAAATCAGAGAAGTGTCAATTTCGGGGTGTTTCATGGAGGTTTTCTCTCTGTCAATTCTAGCAAGCTTTCTTACAGACTTGTCTGCTGTTCAAGTCATTATGTATGCATCACACCTCTATGGCACCCTGTTCATGCTATTGTGTGCTCACCAGCAACAGAAGTACTCACTGTTGCTGGGATCTTTGCAGATTCCTAGTGTAGCTGCTATATTAAACTGCAGCTATGCAACAGATAAAGTGCATAGGCCAGCCAGTTATTTATCTTATTAGGAACTCTGATGAACAGTAATCTAGATTTGATACGTCAACTTACTCTCCCTTCCATGGATGCTGCCTGACCCATTGTGATTTCGAGTATTTTTGGCTCTCAGTTATTTATCTTATTGTTGTTTGCAAGACTTTGTTAAATCTAAACTGGAGCCTCTATTTGCTGAAATAATAAGTGACCAAACTTCAAATTATTGAGCTGGCTGTAAAACATTCTGAAGTGTCCAGAGGGCTTGGAAGGGGCTATATACAAAACGGAAAATTGTTCTTTTATTGTTACCATTTTGTTATAAGACCATTAGATGTAGGAGCAGAAGTGGGCCATTCAGCCCATCAAGCCTACTTCACCACTCAATGAGATCATGGCTGATCTGAAAAGCCTCAACCCCAGTTTGCTGCCTTTTTACCATAACCCTTAATTCCCTCACTGATTAAAAATCTGTCTATCTCTGCCTTGAGCATGCTTAATGACCCAGACTCAGCAGCCCTCTGTAGTAAAGAATTCCACAGATTCATTATCCTCAGTGAAGAAGTTCCTCCTCATCTCTGTCTGAAATGGATGATCCTTTATCCTGAGATTATCTCTTGCCCGAACGCACTGCTCTGGATTCTTTTCTTTCTGCTCCACCAGAAGGGTGGCTGAATAATCATTGACCATCCTGATATTTTAGGTTGCAGTGATATGATAGTAATATAAACTCATCTTATTTTTTCTTTCTGTCATCTTTCATAAATGACCCCAGTGGAAAGTGATGGCACCTAGTTCCAGAAGCTCTCAGATCACCAGTTTTTGAGGGAAGCCTATAAATGGGCATCTTTCCCTCTGCTCAGGACCCTAAACCATACCTATTTCAAGACTGTGGTTCAATCCAAGGCACAAAAAATGTGTTTTACGCTCGATTCTTGTGGCTATTTTGTTCCTTAAATTTGCGTTTCTCTTCATTTTCATAATAAGTCCTGCAAAGCTCCACCATATCTCCCTTCCCATGGAAGTGGCAAACATACCCCTGGTGAGGAAGCTTTAACTAGGAGCTCAGCTGAGGAAAATATACATTGGTCAAAAATCTAGGCTCTATGCCTATTTACTGGAACCACAGCAGAACATCAAAAATGAACTTGATCATTTGGACTAAAGTGCATCATTATTAATTTACACCTTCGAAAGTTCAACATTTCAGCCATTCCTACTCTTAATTGTGCAATATTATTGTAAGTTAATCAATAGTTAGTTGATTTATACACAGTATGCCCAAGACAAAGAGTTGGCAATTTTATCTGGTTACCTCTTAAAGGTGAACGATTTGTATCCTTGCCTTCAGTCTGGGTTTTGATTCCATCTAAACGAGAAGAACGTACCACAATATAAGTACTGAATAGTAGCATTAAGTGACTAATTTATTCTTTTCATGAGATTTAGGCATTGTTTAAAGGTTAGCTTGTGGCGCCCATCTCTAATTGTCCTTGAACTGAAAGATTGCTCGGTCATTTCAGTGGGCATCTCATGGAGGCCACACCAGGTAATGATGGTAGATTTTCGTACCTAAAGGAACTTAATGAAGCAGGTAATTAGATGACAACTGGCAATGGTTTCATGGCAAACATTACTGAGACTAATTCCAGATATTTCAACTGACTTCAAATTCCATCAGCTGACATGTGGGGATTTGAACCCCTGTCCCTACAGTATTAGTGAAGGCCTCTGGATTACTAGTCCAGTAGCATTATCAGTATGTACTGCTTCCTTCTAAAAATCAAATATCCCATACTTTGTTAAGATATAATGTAGGTCAATATGATTGCTATGAAATAATTAAAGTTACATACTTCTAAATTATGGTACTCTCTCTATTAACTTATCAAGGTAAAATTACAAGGCTTCTTAGAACAATTTTTAGAAACAATAAAGTGCAAAATCAATGGCAACTGTGAACCGTTTTGGTGTGAGTCACATGACTGATCCTTTAAGATCAGTGATAAAATCATCTGAGATGTTCCTAACAAAAAAAAAATCATGGAATTAATTCTAGCAACACTTATTAGTATTTACATTATGTATGGGCTGAGATGTGATGGAAACTAAATGCTGCCTCATGTTGAGGATGTCTTGTTACATGGGACCCCATACTCAGTGAGACAATTAAGAACAAATCTAGATGGGTAGATGTAGGATTTCATGAGATTTTAGAGGCCATCAACAGCAGCAGAATTGTATTCAACCACTATCTATACCCTCATGGTTCAACAACAGTACTCTCCATTTCCATCAAGCAGGCAACTAACCTTAGTTCAATGAGAAGACTATGTCAAAAATAGCACCAGATGTACCTAAAAATAAGCTGCCAATTTAACGAAGTTTCAACCGAGGACTATATGCATGCTACACAACAAAAGCATCCCGATATGGGTAGAGTTAAAACCAACGAACAGAACAAAACGTTGCAGTTTTGATGAAAATCGACATGCTCAACAATGGCAGAGACCAGAACGCCAGTGCAAATACAGAGGCAATTGCAACCATCTTCTGCCAGAAGTTACATATGATTCTTTTCCACATTGTCCTGAGATCTTGCCACCACAGCTGTCAGTCTTCAGCCATTTCAATTCACTTCAAGCGATATCATGAAACAGCTGGGTGTACCACTTACAGCAACAACTATGGGCCTTGGCAACATCTTACCAGAGGTGCTGAAGAGCTGCCCTCCAGAAATCATTCCTTCTTTACCCAAACTCTTCCATTTTTGGCTACAGGAGTGGCATCTACGTGGCAATGTGGAAAATTAGTCAGCTATGTCCTGTCCATGAAATGTAACATAAATCATAACGGGATAATCACCAGCCAAGTAGAATGTGGAGTCCTGGGCGCTGGAGAACTAAATATCTTGAATGTATTGTTGTCTCCCAAATCTTTCCTGGAACACCATGTTTCAATCACTCTAATCAGGTTAGCTCCCCGGCATGGTACCAAAACAACTCAACAAAGTTATAAATGATACCCTATGGGGCAGCAAAGGTAAATTATTCCCCCTTTCCCTTCTCAATCTGTCTGCAACCTTTGACACAGTTAAGCGCACAAATCTATACTTATGCTGATTACGCCTGTCTCTACCTCAGCACTACTTCTCTTGACCCACTGTCTCATGAACATTGGACTATTTATCCAAGTCACACATCAACCTGACTTGGAAATATATCACCAATCCTTCATTGTCGATTGCATGAAAATCGAGAAACTCCCTTCCTAACAGTATCCTAGGCGCTCATATACCCAAAGGTCTATAGTGGTTCAAGAAAGCAGCTCACTGCTACATTCACTAAAGCAATTAGGGACATCATAAATGCTGGCCTAACCAGTGGTCCCTCTATCTCATGAACAAGTACAATCATAGAACATAGAACAGTACAGGGCCTTCGGCCCATGATGTTGTGCTGACCTATTATCCTGTTTGCTGACTTACATGAGTTTCTGGTTAAACAATGCCTTAACTGTAAAATTGTCATCTTGTTGTCTAATCCGTTCTTGAATTCATTTCTAATTCTCTAATTTCCCCTTGGACTACACTTCCGATACAGCTACATTCTTCTAAAAATGTCCTTTTGAGTATCCCCAAATTTCCTGCAACATTGGCAGCTGTGCCTTCATTTGCCTAGGTGCCAAACTCTGTAAACCTTTTGTCTGTAAACCTCGATAGTCCGTGTGTGAAGTTCCTTGGAATGTCTTATTATGCCAAAGGTTCTACATAAATATGTTGCTGCTATTATTGTTTACTTGCACAGATGGGCAGGGAAATGGCTTAGGACCATAGAATGTGTATGACACAGAAGGAGGGCATTTGGCCTGTTGTGTCTGTGCCAGGCCTCTGTAAAAGCCATTCGCTGAGTGCCACCCTCCTCCCTTTTCCCAATGGCACCACAAATATTTCCTCCTCAGATAATGATCCAATTCACTTTTGAAATGTCGATGGATGTTGAAAATGATTGGGGTTTGTATAGAAAGAAACCTTGAAACTCCTGCAATTCTAATGCCATATTACCTTAATAGTTTCATTAAATCATGTTTGCAATTTGTCTTAAAAGGTTTTCATCATGAATTATATATATGTTTTAATGGTACAAAATCTGCAATTAGTGTTTTTCCACTGAAGTAGCCACAATAAATATACTCAAGCGGAGGAATAAAAAAAATGCTTTGTTTGAAAAACAAATGATAAATCATCTTTTAAATAATGGTAAGTTATAACTTGGCTTTTCACACATGTATGCATGCTTATTTCAGTAGCTGTATGAAAAGAAACATTCCATTTGAATGGTTGGAGTAGATCTGTGTTGTCAGACATTAACCTTTTATCTCGACAGAGAAGCTGAAGAAAACCCTGTGCATGAACACGAACATGTAGGTGCAATAATGAACAAAGGATAATACTGTAAATAAAGCTTAACTTAACCCAAATGCACTTCAAGAAAAGCTAAATCGAAATGTTGGCATTTCAGATTCACAAATGCAAGAGCAAAGACCAGCTGTGTATTTCCCCTTGAGATAAAACATATAGAGAAAGGTCATTTATCTGAAGTATTAACCCTTATCTTCTCCTCTGTATGACACGCTGAATGTTCCCAGCATCTCGTGTTTCTTTTTCAGAATTCTAGCTTCTGTGGTATTTCGCTCTTACAAGTAAAGTATGTGTTTTAACTTGGCATACGGTAGTGCAACAGCTGCAAATTCTTCTTGAAAATTGGATTAGTTAAATTTCACAGGAAACAGATAATGCACACTTGGAAACCAACATATTAATTTGTTGTAGAATAAATTTCTGAAAATATAGTCTTAAGAAGGCTAAGTTAGCGGGTTTGATTTTTGGCTTGTGCTAAGGTGACTTATCTCAGAGAAATAATTGGTGTTCAATGAGTACTTTGAGTACCCTGAATCTGAGAGACAGAAAGACATCAGGCAGGATTACCAATCTTGGTCTTTACTTAGCAATTCCCAACAGCAAGTATGCAGATGGATGTTAGCTGAGGACAGCATTGTATTTAAATCTGAAGGCCTCCATGGCCTACCAACACATGAAGACTGTCCATTTAGCATCTGTGTGTGACATGGGTTTGCACGCCATCTAAATTCAGCACTTTCGTAATGGTCAAACATCAGCAAAACAAAAAGATAAATATTTTTAAAAATGCTAATGTAAAAATTGGAAACTATAAATCTTATTAAAAAGACCTTACTATTTGTGACAAATGCATGAAGCATCTCGATTTTATTTAAAACGGCACCGACTGCTAAGCTTTCAGTTCATTTTGAATCATGTGACAGGAAAAAAATGTCATCAAATATGATTTAAGTTGGAATGGAAGTAAATCAGTTTAACCTTTATTCTCATTGGTGGGATTAAAAATGTTCTGAAATTAGGTAATACTTCAAAATCGTCCTATTTTTCTGCAGGTGCTGATACCATTGGTGTCTAGAATAGTAATGGAATAAAAATGAACACATTGTATGACTAAGAATTAAAGTGTTTAAACGTTACTTTGCTGTATAAAACCCAGAGAAAGTATATCAAAACTGCTCAAGATCTTCCATATTTAGAAGCCTATAACTTGCAATGTTTTTGTCCCTGAAATGTCCCAAGATTGACTTTTTAAAAATTCTGTCATAAAATAACTTCAGAAGGATGACATTGATTTCTATTTTGCGTAATTATATTTATTGTGCTATAGTGCATGTTGGAATTACTGTATTAAAATATAATCTTTGCATAAGATTGCTAAAACTGAATTGCACATGATAATAGGCTCCTCACATTGCCAGCAGGTCACATTCAGTTTTAAATGATCATTTCCAGGTTATTACCTCATTATCTAGATTTACAAGTTGTGTAAACAATTTCACCAGCTAAATATTTTTATGTTTATCAGCACATTTATACAAAATATACTCAGGCCAAATTTTCGTCGAGCATTTATCTAACATTTAATTCTGCATTTAATTAAATTTAGTCTTGCATGTTTAGAATTTAATTGCTTTCCATACAATGATTTGCAACTATGAGCTGATAACATCAGAGTGATTGGCCTCTGGGACCTGAGTGAACAAGGTAAACAAATTCACATCTCTCCCTAACCAATTAGATTGAAAGATTGTGAAATTAGCAGGCACAAGAACCATGAATGTGGTGTGAAGTACAATGGGTGTATTCAGCACCATGTCAGATACACAAACAGAAATAAAGGGATGGAAAAACTGGATAAAGAGAAAAATAGCCAGAAGGGAAATGTGAAAAAAAGTTCTTTTCTTAAAGACCTTCAACAGCAATTAAAACCTGAAGAAAGAAGATATGAT